AAGGAAGGAAGGAAGGAAGGAAGGAAGGAAGGAAGGTCAGAGCACTCAGTGGCAACCACTGCTTTCTGAGAGCTTCCTCCCTTTCTGGTCAGTTACAGGATGCCCACCTTACAGAACCTACCTTAGCAAAGCCCCAACAAAACACCATCCCCCACAACAGAGCATGTGCCACAATGGAGCTTCATCTTAACCCCCTCCCAGTGCGATTTACTGTAGAAAGAACCAAAAGTGCCTCATTTTCAACCTTTCTTGTATAATACTATCATGTTTTCCTATATTAAGAGAGATATAATTTTATTAGGTCAGAAAGAGACTGAAGAGGTTTGTGAGGCAGTTAGTTGAATGTCCAACTTCTCTGGCAGTAAAAAAGTTTTCCTGACAATGTATCTGGTTTCTGCTTGAAATCAGAATAGCAGTGGAAAAAAATCTTATTCTGGGGCTCAAGAGACCTGCATTCTAAATACAGCTCTGTTATGAATTATGCATCTCCTTTGGCAAACTAGTTTACTCTGGGCCTCTGAAAATGAGATGTTTGGTTTAAATGGTATCCAGATTCCTTCCAGTACCTAACTCCATGATTTCAAGGTTTGTTCTCCCTGTGATGTTGGCTCGTTGATGTCAGCTGAGGAGAAGCTGTGGAGGTGATTTAGGTAAAGTCTCCTTTCAAGAGGATGGGCTAAGGAAAGGGCTATACGTCTGAGGTTGAAGGACAGCTGTCTTTCCTATAGTTCAATGAGTTTCCTTGAAGTCCCAAAAGGACAAACTGAAATTCAGTAATTTCTTTTCTTCCGATTGTTATATTAAGCCAGTGAACACTGGTATTATGCTAAGTGAAATGTCAGAGAAAGACAAATACCATATTATTTCACTTGTATGTGGAATGTAAAAAACCAAAATAAATGAACAAACAAAACAGGAACAAACTCATACATACATAGAACAAACTGATGGTTGCCAGACGGGAGGTTGGGGGGCTGGGTGTAAAAGGTGAAGGGATTAAGAAGTATAAATCGGCAGTTACAAAATAGTCATGGGGATGTAAAGTGCACCTTTGTCAATAATATTTTAATCACCATATATAGTTTCAGGTGGGTGCAAGACTTATTGGGAAGGGAAATCACTCTGTAAGTTATATAAATGTCTAACCACTATGCTGTACACCTGAAACTAATATAATATTGAACGCCAACTGTAATTTAAAACTTGAAATTTAAAAATATTAGGAAGTGACATGTAGTGGGAAATCCTTAGACTGGACCTCTGAAATTGATGATGGAAATCTACAATCTCCTGTAATGATGAAAACTCTATCATGAGCTTGTTATGTGATCTTGGGTACATTATTAAATCTTCACAAGCCCAAGAACATGTACTCTAAGACCTCTTCTACTTCTAAAATTACTCATGCCTGGTAGCAAATGCCAAATTTAAAAATCACAAAAATTCTACAGAGCATTAGCAAGATTTTAAAATGCTTTAAAACAAGAATATATAGTTTTAAATCTTCATTCTGGAATGCAAAACTCTTTTTAATTAAAGTGTAGCTGACAAACAATATTACATTACTTTCAGGTGTACAAAATAGTGATCTGACATTTATATACCTTCCAAAGTGATCACCACAAGAAGTCTAGTAACCATCTACCACCACACAAGCTTACTACGCCATTACTGACAGCATTCCCTATGTTGTACACTACACATCCCTGTGACTGACTTAAGCTATAACTGTAAGTCTTGTACTTCTTAATCTCCTTCATCTTTTTGCCAATCCTCCCACCACCCAACCCTGTGGCAACTATGAGTTTGTTCCCTGTATTTATGAATCAACAAGAATTTTTAAAAGAAATGTACATAAGAAAATGTGCACATTAACAACATCTACTGTTCTGCTTGATTTGTCCCACATAAAAGGGATTTGTGGAGCCTGCTTTTCATGAGAATTAAATTAGATACACGGGATTTATATTATTTTCTGTTCTTTATGTTTTGTATACTAGCTAAAATCTTCTATTAGCAATCTGTACTTTTGTTTGCACAGCTAATAAATTATCTCGCCTTTAGAAAAAGACACCACAGTACAAAACCAACAAGTTACTCAACTAAATAACTAGAGAATTATTGCTTTTGAATTCCAAACATCAAACATTCCTTTCAAATAATGCTTTTAGTCTAAAGCAAATATAATTTATTATTACTTGCAAGTTAGTATATAATAATGGAGTTTACTTAAAGTGGTGTAAGCGTTTCCATAAAAAAGCAACATTTTTAAGGTGTTTTATTTAACTTGGTTATAAAATATTCTCTGGGGAAAAATACGTAGGTTCTTTGTGGGAGCAAATGCTTTTGAAAACTCTTCAATAGCAAAGAAAGATTTCAGGATGAAAACTGTCCTGTGTCAAACAATTCAAAGCACATTTAATTTTTAAAAGGATTTTTTCCTTTTCTTGTACCTCTTGTAATGAATCTAAAATTTCTAAAACTGAAAATTGTGTTTTATAACAATACCATTTTTAACAAATAAGGGTCTACAAAGATTATACATCATCTTTGCAAATATATACACGTTTGGAAATAATTTGGTCTCTTTGAGTTTCCTTAACACACATGCCATACACACATTGCCTGAGAAGATAAATGGCTCATATGCAAACCAAGATATAATTTGGCTTAATATTCATTTTACAGGCAATCAAAACAAAATCACCTATTCAAACAATATATATTAAATAGAATACTGTAGCATAATTTAACAGATTAAATATATTTTCATTAATGTTTGATATCTTTACTGTTTAACTCTCGAACAAAAGGTCAAGTGTAAAAAGCACTTTCTCCAATGTCACTAATCCACACTACTAATTTATCAAACATTATGTCAGTCTTTTGAGAACATTATAAATTACTTTATTTGTAATATTCTCATGTTATTATTCAACTTCTTAAATGTCAGACACAGTCATCTATATTGGCATCTATCTTCACTATTTACATTCTGAGACTATCATGGCTTATCGATTTGAATAATCTGGGTTTTGGTTTTTCATTCCACAAACAAGCAAGATTTCTTTACATTAATGTATCCTTGAAGGCATGCTCATAAGAAGGTCAGGCTAAACTACTATTCAAATGCTAGCTGTTGTGCAACACTAAATAGTCATGGAATACAACTGCTGAAAGGGGAGAGTATTTTAAGCTGCAGGAAGTGCCTATGCTTTGCTGTCAAAACTCTAAAAATTTACTTATCGAAGTTAAACAGTGAAATCATGCATAAAACAAATTTCTAAGTTTTTATTTTCTGTATGTAAAAGTTTTCAGATCAAGGTTACATATGACCATCTCATAAAGATAGCTAATGTTTTTTGAAAATGCATGTATATACACCCTTAATATCAGTTAAGTGTTCAATAATTTCCTCCGGAATTTCAAATTATTTACTATTTGCAATTCCTGAATTAAAAAAAAAATTGTGAAACTTCTTTTACTAAAAGTACAACATAGAAAATATGTTCAGTTCCAGAACTCTGCTTAAAACTTAAGGAACAAATAAAACTTTAAAGACAGAGTACTTTAAGGGCAGTCTATGATTCCAAAATATTCTACTAGAATAATGACCTTAAAAATGAATATGACCCTTGATGATGTGACTAATCTCATTAAACTAGAAAGCTCCTTTAGGTTCCCCTTCATCAGCTATGTCCCAGGATTTGTCTAGAAGGCAAAGTGTAGTTATAAAAGTTTAATTCTCAAAAATGCAGGGGATTAGATAAACAACTCTATCTTATTTTGTTTTCTCTTTCATTTATTTATATTAAAAATAGCCTCTGTCTCGGTGAAGGCCTGGGGTGGGGCAGGAGCAGGGTGGGTGGGGTAATGGAGACAGTTGTAATACTCTCAACAATAAAGATAAATTTTTAAAAAATAGCCTCTATCCATGCCTAGAACACAATTTTATCCCATTCAATATACTGAGCTTTGTATGTGAATTGGGTATTGTGGAAACAAAGGTTTTTCCAGCAAATAATAAGAATTTATCATTTATAATGTTATTTTATGCCTTCACACTAATAATGTAAAAATCTGATTTATTAATCACTTTACATTCATTACCCAATTAATCCATTTTTGTTAACATTTTACAAATGGGGTAACTTAAGAATGATTAAGTCCAACTGCTGAAGGATCACATAGCTATTGAATGGAGTAAACAATTCACACCTAGGCTGTCTGACTCTAAATCCATAAAGTTAAATACTATGATTTTTAAAATATAGATTGAAAACTTCATTCCAGAGCAAACAAAATCTCCAGGAGCTGTGTCCCCAGTTTTGTTTTTTGAAGCTGGTGGTTTGGGAACCACTGCACTACCTCCACTACCCTGCCTGCGCCTCACTTCTAGGAACCAGTCCTTGACGGAAGACTCCCACAAGACAGAGCGTGACACACGGTCCCACAAGGCTGAGCGTGACGCACGGTTCCACAAGACAGGGCGTGACACACGGTCCCACAAGGCTGAGCGTGACACACGGTTCCACAAGACAGGGCGTGACACACGGTCCCATAAGGCTGAGCGTGACACACGGTCCCACAAGGCTGAGCGTGACACACGGTTCCACAACACAGAGCATGACACACGGTCCCACAAGGCTGAGTGTGACACACGGTTCCACAAGACAGGGCGTGACACACGGTACTGCAGGATTAAAAAGAAGTAGGACACATGGCGCCTGCCCCTGAGAAGCTTACAATCTAAAAGTACAGTACCCCAGATATTGAGACAGGAAAGTGACCGGACGGGGTGTGTTTGGTAGGGACGATTCTGTTAGGCTTTGGGTAGACAGCAGAGCAGAAACTCACAGAGAAGTGAGGCTAACCCGAGTGCTACGGCTTGGCAGTGGAAACAAGACTGGGGGAATTGTTGAATAGCCCTTCTTTATTTCAAAACACATTTTTAAATGTTTCAATTCACTTCTCCCTCACACACACACAGAATTACTAACCTTCTACATTCATGGCTTCTCTCAGAACCTGAAGCTTCTTTTGCCTCTCTCGGATTCGGTCCAAAGCGCTTGATATTGCTGAGGAGGTGGGCGACTCTCGCGTGTGAAACACAGGCTCCATCTTCTGAGGGCCAAAGATATCCAAGGCCACGCTTCCATCCGAGTACCTGGCCTCCTTTCTCCTGGGCGCCGTGGCGGTCCGCGCCGTTACTGCCCCCGGGGGACAGCGAGGGGGCCCGCCGGCCTCCCCCGGACAGCAGTCCCTGTCGGCTGTGCAGAGCAAGTCCATGGAGGAAGCCCAAATCTTCTTCTTGGGAAGCACATCAATGCCAGGGATAGCTTTTTTTTCTGGGCTACTAGTTTTGAACTGGTAAGGAGAGCAGGTATTTTCAGACTCTTCGTGTCCAGAATTATTATCTGATAAAATGTCCTTGAAATAATCTTCCTCATCTTGTGTGTCTCTGATGGACAGAAATCCCATAGATTTACTAAGCCCTTTGTTTAGAAAGGTCTGATGAGAGAATGGAGACTTGTGTATGTCTAGTGCATCAGAAGTAGAGCTTCTTCCTGGAATGATAAGAATCTATCATGTATGCACAGAATTTTTAGAAAATAACTAGAATGTAACCTTACTATTGACAATGAAAGTGGTGAAAATGCTCTGAATGCTCCACATGGAGGATCAGAGATGGAATAGGGCGGAACGCAATGGTCATGGTGGTGGTGACGGTGGAAGTGAAAAGAGATGTGATGTTTAACTTTTCATAGTCCAGTATTTCTTATCTAATGAAATCAATATTTTCAATTTTATTTTTTGAGTAGTAACATTTGATATTCATTAGAGGTGAATTACTGGTTTTTAAAAATGGACAAACATGTCTGATACTATCCAGTTTAGCAGAATATTAATTATCCATGAAACGACTGAGAGTAATAATAGAACGTATAGTTTACTCTAACTTCAAACACTGTTACTTCAAACATATGTTACTTCAACACAAAGCCCTGGAATTATTCTCTGGTTATTTAAATAAATATGTTTAAAGAAGAAACAATAAATCCCTGCTATATTCTGAATGGAATAAAAAGATTGTAGTATTTGGAATTCTTCAGCATCAAAGTTTTATTATGATTAGATATATTTTCGGAAAATTTGATTGTGTTTGAAATCCAGGTAATATGATTGTGTTTCAGTTATGTAAAAAACTTAATTTTTTTCATGACAGACTATCATGTACTAAGATACTTTTTACTCTCAAACATAATGTAGCAATATTTATTAATTGGAATAAAATGCCAATTCTTATTTATTCTTTAGTCCCTGTAGTTCAAACCAGCAAGCCATTCTAATTTTTTAAGGCAGTGGTCTGTAAATGCATTGAGACATGGCAAAAATGCCCAACCAGAAATTAATTTTTTGAATTCATAGTTCAAGAACAAAACAATCACATATATCGTTCTACTACTGAAAAAAGAAACACTGAAGAATACTTTATGTTTACTAACCCAATAGCTCATAAACACTGAAGATTTCCCATGTGGCCATCTGTGATGCCTCTTTGATTACCTTGTTGCTATATATCCAGTATAAAATAATGACTAAAACCTTCCGAGTAATAAATTGCTTATTAATTCGTTTGAAAAAGTCAATTGCCTCTTCAGGGTAACAGCTATAACCTTTAATTCCCTGACCACAAAATTTACCTTAAAAATCTTAGAAAAGTGAATTCATTTCAGAATGGAAACAAGTACTTGTTTACTTGAGAATTAGGCTCAAACGTTTTGCTTTTCACGCAACTCATCCTTTCCTGCACATGTCCACTTGAGTGCTAATGAGGATAACAGCATCTGGGGCATGCCATGTAAAGAATACAGAGAAACATACCACATCCAGACACACAGACATATGTTTATAATTTTAAAGTTAAATTAGAAGCTAGAGTCTGTAACAGCCTGTATTACAGTATTTTAGGGGTAAATTACATTCTTAGACAAACCACATATTGAAACTCATTCATTTAAAATTTTATTAAAAATACAGACATTTAATAGAATACATTCGATAAAAAATAGGAATTGAAAGGACTTAAGGCTCATACAACCATAGGTAAGCTCAACAATCTGTCTTCTTTTACTATCCTACTACCAACGGGCAGTCAAATGGAGAAGATCAGGTAAGCGGATATTTTGGCAGCGCCATGATGCCCTGTGAGCCTTCGGACACTTCGCACTACATGTTACGGTATGTCACCTACTCTCCACAGCGACTGTTTCGCTTTTCCTCATTCTTCAGATTTCCCACATCGACTCCTCTTTTACCTGATAGTCTATCTCACATTCCACCAAAAAAGGAGAGAAGCTGTCAGAAGAGAGCTTCCTCATTTCCCCACAGCTAATTCTACATGTCTACGTGGGCCTGCAAATCTTTTCCCTGTAGTCTCAAAGGATGGCATTTCCTACCAATCGAGGGCCGGTTCCCAATACCTGTTCAATCCCCCCTCCTTTACTTTATCAAAGATTTCGCTTCTTGGGTTAACTTCTCCCCTCTCTGCTTACATCTTTATTACTCTCCCTTTCTACTGAGTCCTTCCCATGAGTACACAAACATGCTCTAATATCTACATTAAAAAAATCAAACTAAAGAAACCTCTCCCTAAGTCACAATACAGGGGTGGGCAAAAATAGGCTTACAGTTCTGAGTACACAAAACAGAGTTTATTTTTGTATTATTTATTGTTCATTCTATTATTTATTTGTATTACAAATGTAAATCTGCTTTTGCCCACCCATGTTCTTCCCTCTAGTGATTGCTCTCTCCAATTTCTCACCTCCCATTTGTTATTCTGCCTACTTTAGTCAACTTCCAACTCCCCCACACCTGGAAGCCTTTGTCATGTATCACTAATGACCACCATATTGCCAGATCTAATGGGCACTTTTCTATCCATATCTTACTTACCAGCAACAACTGTCAGTGATGGCAACCCCTGTGCGAATCACTTCTCTCCTTACAAGCCTGGCTTCCTCTGACTTCTCAGACAGCTCATCCTCAATCTCTGATTTTTTCTCTTCCTCTACTGGATATCCAAATGTTGGGTTTCCTCAGGGACCAGTTTGAGAGCCCTATCTTTTCATTCTTTCTTTATATAATTTCATCATTAACAAGGCTTCTAAATATTATCTACATACTAACATCTCCCAAATTTATATTCTTGGTACTGATCTCTTCTGGGAGCTCTAACCTTATACAATTGGAACTGCTGTTGGTATAGATCAGAAGCACCTCAAACTGAACATGCTTAAAACTAATCTTTTACTTCCCACATCCACAGATGTCCATTCTACCCCCCGTCCTCCCAATAAATCAGTGGCACCAGTAACAAACCAACTACTCAAAACAGAAGTATGGGCACCATCCTGAAATCCTTCGTCATCCTTCTTCCCCATATCAAATCCATCAGAGTGTGCTGGCTACTTAAATCTCGAAGATATCTTACTCCACGTGATTCCTTCCAATTCCTATCATCACCCCATTCCCAATTAACATCATCACTTGACTAGATAATTGCAATGGCTTCTGAATAGGCCTCCCTGCTGCTTTTATTTCCTTCATCCAACTTTACTCAGCAGACAGAATTATCTTTTCAAAATATAAATCCCATGATGCCACTACCCTGCTCTGTAAATCTCAAAGGCATAAGACTGCCTCTAAATAAAATCTGGACTCCTTTCTGGTGTGCCACTTGAACCCTTTTCCATTTCATCTCCACTTCCCTTATTCCATCCAGGCCACAAGTTTTTCTCTGTTAAGCTCTCCTGTATGTTAGGGCCTTTGTACATACTTTTCTCTCTGTCCTGGAATGGTCTATTCCTGACCTTTCTCATGGTTAGGTGTTTCTTTCTTTTTAAATATATTTTTATTGCTGACAGTCTTACAGATGTAGATGTCTCCCATCTTCCTCCTCCCCACCCTCCACCTAGCCCCTACCCCCCAGGCCTCCACCACACTACTGTCTGTGTCCATGGGCTTTGCATAGAGTTTTATTTTAAACATGACTTCTTCAGTGAAGCCTACCCCGACCACTACTGAAACAGAGCACTTTCCAAATGTACCATAAGTCTATTCCATTTGTAATAGGTATATTTATCATTCTCTTTCAGGTCATTAGTATTTACTAACAATGTATCAGTGGACCATGGTATCCTAAGAAAGCCATGTCTTCTCACTAGCCATGAGGCCTAAGAATAACTGCTAATAAGGTGGCTCTTGGATAACTACTTCTTTATAAATGCTAGGTTTTTATTGTCATGTTAATGATACTCACTATCTTTAACTACACAACTAGTTATGTACTTGCCTAACACGTCATAGGTGAATACTACATATAGTATCACATGTTGTAATACAGTATCATGGTTGCTTCAAGTTGCTGAGGAACTAGGGAAAAAATTTCACTAATCTGAAAACTCAAAATGAAGTGCAAATATAGAATCTGGCCATATAAATGAGAAACATGGAATTTTAGGCTCATTTATTAGATGCTTGAGTCCACTAGACCAGTGAAACCATGTACTGTTAACACTAGTGCTACTTACTAAATAACAGCATCTGAGACAAGAGAAAATGCAATGTCTTCAACTGCTTTCCAGATCTTTCTAAACATATCCCAGGCTATTATAATTATTTTGTGTAACAGGCAATAGACAACACTGAAATCATTAAGTACACCTAATGACTGCTTACTATCCATTTTGATTAGAAGGAATGTTATTTCTCAAAGCAATGACTTTGGAGCTACTCTTAAAAGATTTCAGGTGAAAACTTCCCTGATATTTCCCCATCCTAGTAGAGTTAGCACCTCCTTCCACTATACTCACAGGGCATGCTAGACCTCTATTTGGACATTTCTTTCGCTGTATTAAAATTATCCTTTATATTATATATCTGTCATCACTCCCACTCATTTCTCCACCCCCAATTGGAACAATAATATAAGGGAACATGTCGTATCTGTTTTTGTATTTCCAGTTCCCGATAACAGAGATTTCAAAAGAATGCTTGTAGAATGGATTGATCACAGCTTTTTGAAACCTTTAAAGCAAAAGCTTAATCTACTAGAAGGATTACTGTAAAAAAAAACCTGGGTTTCAATTCTAGCTTTACCATTCAATCCATGAGCTTGGGCAAGCCACTTAATACCCACGTTTAGCACTTCCTTCATCTACAAAAATGTGGACATAATTTGTTATGCCTTCTTCTTGGAGATGACAGAATAAATGAACTAACTCATATGAACTATTTATTATGAGCTCTTCTGAACAAGGGCAACATAAAATTCTAATTTTGCCTTCCTTTTGTTTCTGCTTTATTCTCCTCAGCATATAATTGTCTCCTGAGGGGGAACTTAAAAGTTCTTTTGAAAAGAAATCACAAAACTGGAAATCAAAAGATCTCCTACAAAAATTTTAGGTTTATTCTACAATTTTTAAAAATCACATTATTTAAAATAGAATAGTGACTATAAGTTGACTTTCTATTTCTTAAGGAGGCTCTGAGTTCATAGAGAGGTTACAGACAACATTAGATTATATATAATTACAAGCACCCAAATTTAAAATGAAACCATAAACATTTTCCTTTTGGAGAGCACACGGCTTGCTAAATACTAAAAGGGGAACAATGAATACACTTTGAAGAGCTATGAACAAAGAATTTTAAGAACATAAAAGATTTTCATAATAAAACACATTCCATTTTAGTTAAGTTGAAAAAAATCTTCCTTGTAAAGTACATTGTATTTTAACTATTTTGGTTATAAATGATTAACATTATCTCTAATTGGATATCATATCATCATTTACCTTTCCCCTCACACACTCAAAAAACTCACAGCATCTCTTAGAAGCTAACTTCAAAATGACATTTCAGTATTAAAAGAGGCTCCTCGATTCCCCATCTGTCTGTACTTACAAACATGTTCAAGAACATAAAAAAAGAAACATGATATTATCAATACGCCGAAGTTCTGAAGCTATATCATGCTGATCTGATCATGGTGTAGGTTTCCACTGTAAGCTTGGCAGGAAATGTTTGCTTTCTTTCTGCTTAGTGAAGCCATTTTATCGGCATTGGCAGTATTAAATAACAAAGTGGGGGCAGACAGCCCACTAGTTTGGGCTTTAGCTTCTCTGACAGATCTCAGAGGTAAGATATAAGGAGGGACCTTTAAAGGTCATTTACTCATAGATGAAAAATGTTATTGTTAAGTTTTAAACAATCAAATCACATAGATACAAGGCATTGTCCCTAAAATTGTTTACTTCTCTTAATCTAAATCTGTACCCCACTGTCCATTTTGACATTTTCTTTATTAAAAATTGTGATCAGGAGTCTAATTAAAAAACTAAAGCTGTCACTACACAGAGGTTTTAGGTTGGTTCACATCAAAGAGAATGCCTTCCTACTAATGTGGTGTGACAAGGTTGCTCTGCTGCAAGTGACCACTGACAGCTGAGAAGCGGCACTGCCCAGGGTGACACCAGAAATACTCTAGGAGTATTTCCTCCTTCATGAGGAAATTTTTTCTTAATCTTAAAGCTTTTATATTATACACCACTGACTCTTAGCTGCTCATTGCTTCTGTCTGGCAATGGTTATAACTGGTATACTATTTTGATTCTGTTTTTGAGATGTGGTTTTATAAATTTGATAAAGGAAAATTAAGAAAGCCCTTGAGCAGTACTATTGTGGAAAGCTATGGCTAAGACAAGCTGAGGAATTTTCTTACATTACACTCGATCCCAAAGACTATTGTTTCTTTAAGCATCAGGGGATCTAATTCTACCCAAAATACAAATGTAAACAAAATTTGGTTTATTCTGAGTGACACCTAATTCCTTACAAGTTCCCTTGAGTTACATTTAAGGGAGATTTTATTCTCCAAAAAAGAGACAGGACTGTTAGAGAATAAAATCAATGGAGAGTCTATTTGAAGATGTGTTAATTTTTTTAAGTCATTACTGTTAATCCTAGATTATCTGCATTTGGACAGTCTGTTAGTCATAGAATTTTAAAGAACTGTTGGACAATAATACTAAATCTTTCTCAATAGTATAAAAATAAAGTCACAAGTAAAAGACAATAATAACTAGGTTTAAAACTTATGATATATTTGTTGTTATAATAAGAAAACAGTCTAAAAATATGAGCCAATATGGTGAACTATAGTTTCTCTTTTTACTTTGTACAACGTAAGGTTTAAAATAGATTATCTAAAAAAATAAATGATAGTAATATATTTTCTTCATGCAACCATTAAAAATTATATTACAAATATATTATTCTAATAATTTTTAAACTTTTTTCACACCCAATCAACAAATATTCATTAAATACCTACAAAAACTAATGTATTTAATATAGTAGGTTTTCCCTGTCCTTAACATCTACATGTCTAGTAAGCTTTACTTTTATTTACTTTTTATTAAAAAATGCATGTATATATGTAAATGACAAATAAATACCCTGCTATTTAAGGTATGTTATATAGTAGGTATATATTCAGTTCAATCTCTAGTTCCTACCTCTAAAATATTATGTAATAATTAATATCTGTAACAATAAGATTGAATCACCGAAGGTAATGTAATCTAAACTATATTAACACTGGAGAGTGTTTAAACTTAATAAACTAACTATGGTAGGGTGATTTTTCTCTTTTCTATAGGTTCATAATGGATAGGGGTGAAACAAGGTTCTCCTATAGAGAACATTTTTATTGTCAGAAAAGACAAACTGTCTTTAAAAATTAAAAATTAATAATATAATATTTATTAAGTAAACATGTAACAAACAAGAAAAAACCTGATTTCATAACATGGCGGCTTAACTGGTAGTAGATGATAGAAAGGAATTCTAGAAAGAGACTAAAGTACAGAAAAGAAATAAGGAAGCAAGGAGGAGAGGAGAGGGTAACAAACTAGAAAGAGAATACATTAGAGAAAGGAAATCATTTCTTTTAAATGTAAAGTTTCAGTTACTAAAGTATTCATTATGTCATCCTAAAAAAAGACCTTCAGCTTGCCGTTGACACCCCGCTCTAATTTTCCGCCATCCTTCAGTTCTAAAACAGGAGACTGACTGGAAATTTGATGAATTAACAAAGTGCTGCTATTCTTAACACCACGTTTCACACTATATCGCATTTCAAATCCTAGTATAGTTTTAAAATAAAGGGGAACAGATTTTTACCTACAAGAAGGTGTGTCTCTAATATGGGAATATAAGTACATTGAAGAAACACAGGAAAGGGTTAAAAGTTCTTTTTGAATTACCATCAAAGCACTGTCAGAACTAAGTTAAAGTCTGCCTTCTGTTTTGCTTCTTTTTAACTTCCACATAAACTAATAGTATACATATTAGGAAGGTAACCGTATGCAACCAGAAATAAACTGACTACAGTGATGACGTGAAAGCTAAGATAACTTTTCAGAAAAGCAGTCGTTATTCACAATAAATAAAATAAAAGTACCAAAATAGACACTTAGCTAACTGCATCATTACGGAACCACTCCATTGGAATCATTTTATTGCTTTTCTTTGACTTCTACAAGAACAGTGCACTTGCTGAGGGCACATCCCTCCCTCTCAGATACATGAGAGTTCTGAACTCTGCAAACACTTGGTCCAGAAAACAAATCATCTATATTTGGTTTTCACAATTAGAGTTTCTCATGGGTTTTAAATAAGATAGCTGGGCCCTGATTAAGTGATTAAACTGAAAAGTTAGGTGTCTTAGCTTTCTAATCTGACGGCATCAATTAGAATGTTTTATCAGAATATATTTAAGCCATTTTTATATTTACTTCTTCCCAGACCCCCATAAGACAAAATATTTCATCCACAAAATATCTTTGTTAATGTGTAGATTATCATAATTATCAATACTGCTTGATAAGAAATAGAGAACAAAGATAGTAAAAGAAAACAGAAGTTCATTTTATAAATAAGCCAAGCCCAAAACTTAACTTTAATTTCGCATGTTTGGAATTTCTATTCATTTCCTTAAAAAATATATTCAATGATTATATAGAACCCATAATTATCTAATGCTACTGGCAAACAGCAGAATCATTCTTCATCAGTTTTTTTTTTTTTTACTAAGTATCATATAACCTAAGACAGTATTTATAACTGCAAGTCACAAAATTAGTGGGTCATGAAATCAATTTAGTGGGCTGTGACTAGCATTAAAAAAAGAAATAGAAAATGAAGTGTAGTAAGAATAATGTTGTTCTCCAAAACTCTTGTTTCAGTAGGTTTATATTCATAAATGTGTAGTTTTCATTGTGCTTTAAAATGCATTTTTAATGTAAAATACCATGATAAAGTAAATAATTGATATTACTGCTATAATAAAAACATGCGAAATGAAATGATTTACTGTGGGAGTCTTGAGTACATTAATTATGCTTTATGCATAACTTTAATGAATTGATACATTAATAAGGGTACCATTCCTATCTGTTCCCTGCCTCTATTTTGCATACCTATATTCTAATTATGGTCACAATTACCAGATTTTCAAGCCAGGTAAGTATGATTTTGTAAAGGAAACCATAAAATAAGGTTTAAGCCAAAAAACTTCCTAATATTATACTCTTACCTGTTGGTAATCCTTTTCCTCTCAATCGGTCTCGAATAGCCTGGCTTCGATCAGGCTTTTGTTCACTGTTACAGCAAAGCTGATCCGTCTGTACGTAGGTAATCAAAAGTTAAGTTTGACAAAAGAATCATTTGTTTTCTTGGTAACTGGCTATAGAATGACACTAGTTAGACAATATTTGGAGGGTGTACCATTAAGTAAAAACACTTCACATTTGCTACTGTTAATCTGTATTCCTTGGGTAAGATTTATGTAGCTCAGTTCTGGCCAATTCATCCTCAGGAAATACAAGTCAAGAAACAGTTATCAAAGACTAATCTGCTAACTAAGGAACAAAGTTAGCCAAATTAAAGTAGTTAAAATGAGTTCCATTTAAAAACAGTCAACTTGAAGAGTTCTTTTTTCTAAAAACTGATAACTACGTTCATCTCTCAAGTAAGATTACAATTTTAAAACTGTATTAATTCTGGTATAATAAAGCTTTCACCTGATTGTAACTATGCACTGAGGGTATGGAAATGAATTATTTTCCAAAATAATTTTCTAGACCTTCCCTGCCAGGAATTACATTTGAGAAATGTAAAATAAATGGACAGCCCTGCCAGTGCTGGCTCAGCAGTTGAGCAATGACCTATGATCCAGGTTCAATTCCCAGTCACAGCACATGCCCGGGTTTAAGGCTCGATCCCCAACAGGGGGTGTGCAGGAGGCAGCCGATCAATGATTCTCATCATTGATGTTTCTTTCTCTCTCCCTCTCCCTTTCTCTCTCTGAAATCAATAAAGATATATTAAAAAAAAAAAAAAAGTAAACGGACATATTAAGGGATGGCAATTTAATTTAAATCAATGCTCTTTTGAGTAACCTTTATAACAAAATGTTTTAGTAGTCTTAAACCTCAGTAATTTTAACCAAGGGTACTTGGTTTAAAATAAAGCATGTCAAATCGGATCATATTCCACATTATAAGAGATGAAAAGTTAGAACACTGGGTTTATTTAGATGATTATTAGAGTAAAAATTTCAAGAAATAAATGGAAGGAGAGAGAATGGTGAAGAGAAATTACTTAGATCTGGCACCAAGAACATATACACACATCTGTTTACACATACACCCCCCCCCCAACATTCCTCTAGTGAAACTTTTTTGAGTATGAATTAAAAAACTGCTTAAGGTGGTATATTCAAGGCATTATGTTTCCTATCTATAGGAAGATTTAAATGAATATATTTCTGAAATGATGTTATCATTTAAGTTACATAAATGATGTTAGTCCAGATTGCACTCTACTGTCAGTAACTGAAGAGATAAAGAACATCCTGCATCTTTGGGAATCCCTGTTGTCATTCACTGAGCAATTACTATCAGGGAGGCCTACCTTAGTGCGTTACATACTTTGTTATTTAGTCCTCAAAAAACCTCCTGTGGTAGCCCAGCCAGTGTGGCTCAGCAGTTGAGTGTCGACCCAGGAACCAAGAGGTCACCAGTGTGATTCCTGGCCAGGGCACATGCTCAGCAGAGGGCATGCAGGAGGCAGCCAATCTTGTCGATGCTTCTATCTCTCTATTCCTCTCCCTTCCTCTCTCTCCAAAAATCAATAAAAACATATTAAAAAAAAAAAACACCTCATGTGGTAGCAGTTTTTTGAGGACAATTATTCTCTTATAATAGCAAGAAAATTTCTAAGAACCTTCAAGCAGCTCATTAACACTGAAATAATTATCATTACAACTGTTCAGTAATATGGGTGGATGGTATGTATTACTTTTCCTATTTTAGAGAGAAGTAAAATTGAGGCAAAAATATAACATTAAACTAGTGGAAGAACCAGGACAAGTAAGCTAGCCTGCTGACTTTTACTCTATGATAATTAATTTTAAGTAAGAATTATGGTCACTTATAATTAATCTCACAATGAGTGAGAGACTAACTCATTCTACCAGCAACTGGATGCAACAACAGCGGCAGAGATGCGTAACAGCTAACAGCAGGGCTTGGGGTCGCTGAAATCCAGGTTCCAACTGTGTCTCTCATTTACCATGTACGTAGCCATGGGCAGGTTACTTAATCTCTCTGAGCTTTAGTTTCATTATCTCCAACATGAGGATAAAATTAAAATGATCTCTTGTAACCTGGGTTGTTATGACGGCTAGATGGGAAAAGCACATAAGCCATTTAGCACAGTGCCTGGCACCAAGTAAACCCTTAGAAAATGGTCACTGTCGGTTACTGCTGTCCAGTGACGTCCAGGAGATGAGCAAGAGCACTGGAAAGGTGAGGGGAGCACTGTTATTTCTACTTGGTAGAAACTATATACTGAGTCCAACTGACCCTCCTATTCTCTCCCATTAAACAACCCCCCCACACTCCATACCAGACTTATTACTGTTCCTCAAACACACCCTGCTCTTTCCCATTCCACGGCATTTATTCAAGTTTGCTTCCTTCTGCTGGGATTACTCTTTCTACCTGGTCTATGGGATCTAGTTCAAAGTGCTATTTTTCTTTTTCTTTTTTAAAAAAATATATCTTTATTGAATTCAGAGAGAGGAAAGGAGAAGGAGAGAGAGAGAGAGAAACATCAATGATGAGAGAGTCATTGATCGAGCCCGCAACCCGGGCATGCGCCCTGACCGGGAAT